CAGCAGGCTGCACTGCTCTTCGTCACACCCTGCTTGGCCCGGCCTGCCGCGCGTGTCAGCGGCGGGTCCGGCCCAATGGACTCCCCCCGCAATACCAACCCCCGGGGCCGATGCGGAGGGCCACCCTGGCGGCGGCGTGGCCCGGCCTCTGGTTCGCAAGTTCTGTAGGGTTTACTACCCGAATAATGGTGTCGCAGTAATTTATTTTGAAGCACGCTGCTGGCGGCGCTCCGGGGGTCCCTGCTGCTGCCGCATTCCTTACGCATTCCTCCGCCCTGCGGCGGGCCCGGCCGGGGCCACCGGGAGAGCCGGGAGAGCGGGGGCGCCGGCGGGGCACGGTGGCGCCGGAGAGCGCGCGCGACAAAGGGGATTCCCTGGCTGCTGCTGCCGCTGCGCCGGGGATGGGGAGAGGAGGGAAGGGGGTCCTCAAGAAGCACTTTGTGTTGAGTTTGCGAGGACTCTCCCCGCCGACCCCGTCGCTCCCACGAAGACCCTCACCTCTCCCCCTGCCCCCTGCCTCCACCTGGCTTCGTGCTCGCACTTCATATCGTGGATTATAAGGCGGGGAAGCTCTTTTATGTGGGACCCCTGCCCCCGCCGCCACCACGCCCCCGCCCCGGCCACGGCTTACTCCCGCCGACACGCGAGCCTTGGCTGGCTGAGCTGAGCTGTGAGCCTTGCTCTCTCCCGAAAATCGCGCCAACCTGATGGTCGTGCGGTGTGGGGCAGGGGAGCTGGAGGGTGAGGCGGTGGCTTGATCGGTGGCGGAAATACTTTCCCCTTCTTCACACGCCACACCGGCCCAGCCCCGGCAGCGCGTGCTGCTCGCCCCCGTGCTCGTCACCGCCGCCGCGGCCTGTGCGGCTGCTCGGACGAGCGATGTGCCGTGTGTCCGTGACGCCATTGGCCGTGTCCGTGACGCCGCACAAGGTAAAGCCGGCTTACTCCACACTTACGCTCAAAGTGGCGGGGCGGGGCGGGGTGGGGCGGGTCCCGTCTTACGCCCGCTGTCTCCGGTAGAGGGCGTTCCGCCGCTGCGAATGCCTCGGCGCGCTGACGGCGCTCGTGTTATTCTTTTGGACGGGGGGAGGGGTACCCCTTTTTCTCCTCACTACCCTCTCGTCAGCGTGCTCACCGCGGTGGAAGGGTCGGGTCGGGGCCCATTCTCTTTTCTTCTTCGCGGGAGATAGGTATGGCGCCGCCACCCGCAGGCGGGGGAAAGTTGTACCTGGCTGGGCGCGTCCTAGAGTGCCCGGCGCCGACGACCTTGCGATTGGGACGCCGCAGAGTGGTACCTCGGGACCTGCCCACCCGAGTGGCACCCGTTGGGCACCCAAGAGGCACCCGAGGGGCGAACCCGCCTGATTTGGGATCGGTCGAGGCGGTGTGTGTTTGTTGCGCAAAGAGAATATGCCGCACGTGTCCGGGGAGACAATAAGAGTGTGGGTGTGCTGCGGCGGCGCTGGTCCCCCAGGCTCCCCCGCCCAGCGCGCAGCGGTCTGCAGCGAGCGCCGGTGGGGGAGGGGGGCAGGTAGCAGGAGGGCCGGGGGCTCGTAAACATACTTACATTACAGGGTACAGCCCCGAAGCGTTCGGCCGGATGCGGGGGCTGCGGGGCCGGCCCAAGCTGTGCGCGCAGCACGGGCCCCGCGGATGCAGTGTGTTGCAGGGTGGCCTGGTGGTAGGCCGGCTGGGAGGCCTACGCGTACACGGACGGACACACACACACACACGCGCGCGCACAGACACGCACACGCACACACAATGTTTGCGTAAACTTTCCCTCGGCTTTGATCCAGGTTTGTGGTGTGTTAACCCTCTATCGCTGCCTGATCGACCCCTACCCCCTGTTAAATGCCCCTCCGCCACCCCCGCCCGCTCTGTCTCT